ATTGTTACTGCATAAAATATTCAAATTAACACTTAACTTGACATAGTACACCTAACTTAACCTAACCTGACCTCACCTGACCTTACCGAGGTAGTTAAATGTACAAGAGGGGATTAATCTGTTCTCTCACGTATCTTCACTGTATTGTTAGATAGATAGATAGATAGATAGATGAATAGAGCGAGAGGGTTCAGTATCTCCATAGCTCTCTCTCTCTTTCTCTCTGTCCCCTCTCTCTCTCTCTCCCCTTGGTTGAGTGGTGATGGATAAACAGACTAAGAATGTGTTTCTTGGGTAGTAATGATCCGCCCACAGAGCAGCCCCTGTCTTCACGCCCACGACTACTTACACACACCCACACTACTTACACACGCCCACTACTTACACACAAAGCTCCTTACTTTACACACCCACCACAACACAGTCTTTACTTACACACACCCACTACTAACACAGTCTTTACTTACACACGCCCACTACTACTTACACATTCCCACACTACTTACACACGCCCACTACTACTTACACACGCCCACTACTACTTACACACGCTCACTACTACTTACACACGCCCACTACTACTTACACACGCCCACTACTACTTACACACACTCACTACTTACACACCCCCACACTACTTACACACGCCCACTACTACTTACACACCCCCACACTACTTACACACAATCTTTACTTACACACGCATGACTAACACAAGGCTCCACCTCACACTACCTTCCTTCTCCTCCTCCTAATCTCCTTCCCTTTCCTTCTACCCAACATGTAGCACAACATACAGTGACCCAACAAGGATATTTTTAACCCCGTGACCTTAACGTATGCAAATGAGGTATCCTGGACCGAAAATAGTGCCAGTAAAGTGCCACATAGTCTTGAAGGCACTGACCCGTAACTGTTCTTGTGTCTGTATATGAAAATTGATCTAGAATGATGTTAATTTGTACCTGGATAATTAACTCGTTACATGTATAATAACAGTCAGCAGTTAACAGTTAAATAGTCACAGTCGATAGTTAACAGTCAACAGTTAAGACCAGTTCACATTACCTTATTTTATCGTGAAGAATTTGCCTGCTTTTGGTTATTAATGAATGTAATCACACCTGGAGAACACCTGTCTTAACGCTTTTATACCTGGAGTACACACACACACTCACACACACACACACACTCACACACACACACACTCCAACACCTCCATTACCCCAGTGCAAGCCCCTCCCTACCAGGAGCTGGGCCAGTGCCATCTAGTGCCAGGTGATGGGGGTGACCTGAGGTCCACCTAGGGGCTTGCTTTCTCTCAATTGAAGCTCATCCCCAGAGCAGCGTGGCACCCTTACCCCGCGGTCACGAGGCCCTTCGATGCCACTTGACTCTCAGATAAGGGAAGAGGGTGACCAAGAGCCAAGGGGAGGGGTGAGGAAGAGAGGTAAGGAGGGAGGAGGGAGGTAAGAAAGGTAGTGAGGGAGGGAGGTAAAAGAGGTAGGGAGGGAGGTTAAGGAAGAGAGGGAGGGTGAGAAAGTGAGGGAAGGGGGTAAGGGAGGGAGGTTAAGGAGAGGGAGAGTGAGAAAAAAGGGAGGAGTGATAAAAGGGGGAGGAGGGAGGTAAGAAATAGAGAACGGTAAGAGAAGGAGAAGGGAGGGAGGGAGAGAGGGAGGGAGGGAGGTAAGAGAGGCAACAGTTGTCTTGTGTGTGTGTAATAATGTCTTTAAGAGCTTGAACAAATATTCCTTCATGATATTTTAGTCAGTTGATATCTTAATGACACGATAAGATGATACATAGAGAGTAATAATAATAATAATGGCAAGAATATCAAACAATAACTAGAAAGAGAGAAACAGAGACAGACAGAGAAGCGAGAGAGAAACAGACACAGACAGACAGACAGACACAGACAGACAGACAGCTGGGGTTGGCACCGTCTACAATTACAGTGGGTGTCGGTCTGTCGGTCGCTCGGTTAAAAGAAACAACACACACACAAAAAAAAACATATTCGTCTTCAATTGGATAATATGGTCAGGTGTTTGATGTCAGTAGATATATAATGTCTTGTGATTGGTGGGTTGGCTCTTTGTTGTGGCCAATCAAGGCGAAGGACTGACAGACTGTTCGAGGAGATCCATCCGTTCTCTCTCTCTCTCTCTCTCTCTCTCTCTCACCTGCTTTATTATTTATGTGTGTGTGTGTGTGTGTGTGTGTGTGTGTGTGTGTGTGTGTGTGTGTGTCCTATCAAAGGCTGTTGGAAGTGTTGTTTTTCCTGATAAACTTTTGGAAAATATATAAGCAAACAAACAAACAAACACGCTATAGCAACTGGGTCAGAACAAACAAACAAACAAACACACAAACAACAACTGAACCAGATAAACAAACGGCCACACTTGACCACATGAATTAAATTTGACTGACAGACAGACTTTCACTCTTGACAGATGTGTTTGTTTGTTTGTCTGTCTGGCCCAATTGTTTGTAACCGTTTGTTTGTTTGTTTATCTGACCCCAGTTGTTTAATATGTTTGTTTGTTGTTGTTCCCCGCTATCCATGGAGAGGAAGGATTAAGAATATTATGGCTTCCGTGTGTTTGTTTGTGTTTGTGTCTGTGTGTCTGTGTACGTCTGTGTACGTCCGTGTGTCTGTGTACGTCCGTGTGTCTGTAACTACAACCTGATATAAAATCCCTTACATAATTTTCACTTTTATTAAATACAAACAAAAAACAATAGAGCCAATCCAACCCTTAACTACCTGTAAGTGCTTGTTAAGAGAGGTACTTAACAAGCCTTAACTACCACCTCGTTTGTATCTGCCAATCAACCACTACTACAACTGGTTATTAAACAAGTGACTAACAGGAGACAACCACTTGATCACCATTACGATACTAGTAACTACCACAACTACAACCATTAAGATACTAGTAACTACCACAACTACAACCATTAAGATACTAGTAACTACCACAACTACAACCATTAAGATAATAGTAACTACCACAACTACAACCATTAAGATACTAGTAACTACCACAATTATAACTATCACGATATTAGTAATTACGACAACTACCCCCTCCTCCCCTCGCCCCCTCCATCAACACCCCATCAATCATCCACCCCCTCCACACCTCATCCCCCCACCCCCACGTCAACGTTCCCTTAACAACCACATTACTTAACAAGAAGCCAAAACAGTTACCCAATTGTTAAAACACTTCCGTCCAGGGCAGCAGCTGACCCAAAGACCCTGACCTCCTGCACCCTGATCCCTACTCCCTCACCACCCCTTACCCCCTGCTCCTCACCAACCCCTACCCCTGACTACCCCTTACCCTTCATACCCCCTACCCCTCACTACCCCTTTCCCCTTATATGTCAGAAAGTTTCATCCAATTTCTTGCAGTTTCATATGTTTGACCCATCAAAGTTTCCATATGTGCCAGAAAGTTCCACATGTGTCAGAACTATCAAACATACATATGACACATCACTAAGGTGTCATATGTGCCAGAAAGTTCCACATGTGTCAGAACTATCAAACATACATGACACATCACTAAGGTGTCATATGTGCCAGAAAGTCCCACATGTGTCAGAACTATCAAACTTGCATATGACACATCACTAAGGTGTCATATGTGCCAGAAAGTCCCACATGTGTCAGAACTATCAAACTTGCATATGACACATTATGAGGGTGTCATATGTGTCATTCTGCAGCTGGGTCGACTCAGGGCGGGATAAGAAGCTAGTCAAATCCTATTATCTTAACTTATAATTTTATAAGTATATGAGACATAACTTTTTTTGTAAGTATAGAAGTATTTTAGAAGAACGTGACGCCATAAGTGAGGAGACGTAACCATTTCTGGGAGGGAAGGGGGGAGGTGAGGGAGGGGGTGGGGTGAAGTAGTAGTTGTAGTAGTAAGCAGGAATAGTAGTAGTAGTAGTAGTAGTAGTAGTAGTAGTAACTATAATAACATAATCTGATAGCAGTGCCGTTCGTAGTAATTCTCCAACAATGACTACCATGAGGGGAGGAAAGGGGAGGCGGTGGGGGTGAGGGGGAGGTAGGAAGAGGAGGAGGAGGTTGGAGGACTTGAGCTGCGTTACAAGAGACAAGACATTCATTTACAACGATTATAAAGCCATGAACGACCCCTCACGGACACACACACACACACACACACACACACACACACACACACACACACACACACACGGACACACACACACACACACACACACACACACACACACACACACACACACACACACACACACACACACACACTACGTCCTCTCTCGCATCTGGCCTGAAGGATGTAGGGAGGTGGAATAGGAAAAACGATGAAGAAAGAAAGTTGTGTGTGTGAGAGAGAGAGAGAGAGAGAGAGAGAGAGAGAGAGAGTCAGTACCCCCGGAAGACCTTTGTTTCATCAGTGAGTTATTTATGTATCCTTCCTGTAACCAATGGACAACGCGACGCCTAACCTAACCTAACCTAACCTATCCTATCTTAATCTAACCTGTCCTGTGCCATCGTAACCCAACCTAACCTTATCCTATCCTGAGCTATCCTAAACTAACCTAACCTGTCCTGAGCTATCCTATCATATCTTAACCTAACCTAACCTGAGCTATCCTATCATAGCTTAACCTAACCTATCCTATCCTGAGCTATCCTATCATATCTTAACCTAACCTATCCTATTCTGAGCTATCTTACCCTACCCTAAACTCCCTATCTCTTCTCCCCAACAAGCCATTTCCCCTCTCCCCCTCCCACCACCATTAACCTCCCACCCCCTCTCCACCACAACACTACTAACCTCCCTCACTTCTCTCCCCCAACAGGTCATCTCCCCCTCTCCACCAACAACACTACTAACCTCCCTCACTTCTCTCCCCCAACAGGTCATCTCCCCCTCTCCACCAACAACACTACTAACCTCCCCATTTCTCTCCCCACACAGGCCGTCACCCCCTACCTCAGTACGGGTTGCCATGTACGGCCTATTGGTAGAGAACTTCAGTGAATACATCAAACAACAGTATGGGGAGGATATGTGGGAACAGATACGCCACCATGCTAATATTGACCAGCCCGCCTTCAGCACCCACCGAGTTTATAGCGAGAATGTCTTACCGCGTCTCGTTAAATCCGCCGCCAAGGTGAGTCTTCTCGTTGTCTGTGTGTGTGTCTTGTTTTGTTGTGTAGTTATAGCTTTTCTTTCTCTCTCTCTCTCCTTCTTTTCTTTCGTCTCTTCCTTATTCACCTTCTACCATGCTCCCTATATCACCCTCTCACTCACTCTCCCTCTACTCTCACCCTCCCTCTACCTCCCACCCTCACTCTCCCTCTATTCTCACCCTCTCTCACCCTCCTCCGGTCTCCAACAGATACTGGACGTGACCAACGATGCCCTCATGTTCCGTATGGGAGAGTTCTTCGTCGAGTTCGTGGGTCAGTATGGATACGACCGAGTCCTCTCCGTCCTTGGCCGACACGTCAGAGATTTCCTTAATGGTGAGATTATTGTTTTTTGAGGGGTTATTCATCTCTTATTATCCGGACTGTTTGTGTTTATCCGGATTCTGTTTTTCGTTTGTCCGGGCCAATTTTACCATTTATCCGGACTGTTTTCCTTAATCCGGACTTCTTTTTCGTTTACCTGGACTGCTTTAGAGTATACCCATTATCCAACCCACGATCCATTATACCCATGACCCATTATGCCGCAGGACTGGATAACCTTCACGAATACCTCAAGTTTTCATACCCCCGCATGCGGCCGCCGTCCTTCTTCTGCGAGAGTGAGTCGAGCACCGGGATGATTCTTCACTACCGCTCCAAGCGACGAGGGTACGCCCACTACACCATGGGTCAGATCACACAGGTGGGTCATCGTGGGTTATTTCATACAGGTGGGTCATCGTAGGTTAATTCATACAGGTGAGTTATCGTGGGTTAGTTTATACAGGTGTGGTATCGTGGGTTACGTAATAATAATAATAATAATAATAATAATAATAATAATAATACGTTTCCTTTTTTAATCTGATAAAATGAAAATAAAAATAAATCCCCCTTGACCAAATTTTCTTTGATGGAAAATTATGATCAGCACCCACACACCTACTCCACCCACTCACCAAACCCACCCAATTACTCACCCACACTCCCACCTACTCACCCATCCACACCCACTTACCCAAACACCTACCCAACTACCCACTCACACACACCCAACTACCCACACACACCTACCCACACACACCTACCCACACATCCTCCTACCCCACCCTAATCTCACCATTGCAGGTAGCGCATCACTTCTACAACACCAAGATGGAGGTAGAGTTAGTGAGCGAGAAGTTTATCTTCGACACCTCCCACGTGACCTTTCAGCTGACCTTCGACAACCAAGCCTTCTCTAACCAGGTCAGCCTCACCCTTATCCGGGAAGAACAGACGCTACCACTTCGAGGCAACCTGTTGTTCGAGATCTTCCCCTTCTGCATCCTCTTCGGGTGAGTTCTCTTGTCTGTTTTTCTTTTGTTTTCTTTTGTTTTATTCCATATTGTCAGTACAGGCCATCATTAGCGTCTGGTGTACTCTCTTTCTCTCTCTCTCTTCCTGTCTTTCTCCTTTTACTTTCTCTCTCTCCCTATTTTCTCCCCTCTCTCTTCATTCTTTACCCCTCCCCATCTCTCTGCCTCTCTCTCTCCTCCTCCTCTATCTCTCATTCACACCCACTCTTTCTCCCCCTTCTCTCTCTCTTTACAAGTATGACCCCTGACCTCTGACCTCTGCTTACCCTACCCCCCTCCCCAGGAACAAGATGGTGGTGAAGTATATCGGCAATAGCATGATGCAGATCTTACCAGAGCTCGTGGGGCAGAAACTCACGGATTGGTTTGACCTGACTCGACCCCACGTTGCATTTAAGTTTGAGAGCGTAAGTATCACTCCAAAGTTTACCCTCGAGGATGATGTTTATAGTCAAGAAGTTAATGTGAGAATGTGTGGGAGTATAGTATGTGTAGTATGGTGGTAAATGTGTAGTGTGATGGTGAATGTGTAGTACTAGTGTTATCTCTCTCCATAACAGTCTCATTACTAAACCCTCACCTCTCCATCCCTCCATCATCCACCCCCCTCCCTCTCATTACCCGTCTCATTACTAAACCCTCACCTCTCCATCCCTCTTATCATCCACCCCCCCTCCCTCTCATTACCCGCCTCTCCACCCACACATCTCACCATCCCCTTTACCACACTACCCCCTCACCCTCCCACTACCATCCCTCTTACCACCACCCCTACATCTCCCCACCTCCTTACCCTCACTCTCATCACTCCAACCCTCTCACCACCCCTACATCTCCCCACCTCCTTCCCCTCACTCTCATAACTCCAACCCTTTCACCACACCTACATCTCACCACCACCTCTCCACAGATTCTCCTACGAACCAACAACATCTTCGAGGTGGTGACGGTGGAGTCGGTGTTTGAGAATAATAAGAAGAAGAAGGAGAATGGTAACGTACACGGTGACATCCTTAACCTGTCCGAGGAAGATGTAACTGAAAAGTCATTCAAACTCAAAGGTACGCACGCCCTCCGACTCTCATACGCAGTCTGATTTGCGTAGGTTACCTCCCATACGCCCTAGATGCCTTGAATTGCTTAGGTTTCCTCTCATACACCCTAGGTGCTTTGTCATGCGTAGGTCCCCTCTCATACACCTTCTGCCTTGAGGAAGTTCTCTGATTTGGTTACCTACGCAAAGATAAATTGCCTTTATTAATAGGCCCATCTCTTAATTGGCCCTGGAGCCTGTTAGAATTGGAGTCTATTAAAACTGGTTCCTATTAAGGACAGGAGGCCACTTAAGACTCGAGCCCATTAGAGCCTGGAGCCCACTTAACCTGTCAGGCTCTTAAGTGACAGAGAGACGATTCTTTCATAAATAAGCAAGTCTCTTTAAATTACCTGGGCTTGGTGCTTTCATCCTGTCTATTTGTCTGTTTATCTCTCTATCTATCTATCTATCTAGTTCTCCATTATTCTTGTATCTCTCTCTCTCTCTCTCACACACACACATCCTTCCACCCTCCCTCTCACCCCACTCACTCTCCCTCTCACCCCACTCACTCTCCCCACAGGTCAGATGGTGTACATGGAGGACTGGAAGCTGATCTTATTCCTGGCTACACCTGTAATGAAGGACCTCGACTCTCTTATCTACTCCGGCCTCTTCATCAACGATCTCTCCATGCACGACTTCTCCAGGTGTGTGTGTGTGTGTGTGTGTGTGTGTGTGTGTGTGTGTGTGTGTGTGTGTGTGTGTGTGTGTGTGTGAATGACCTGTACAGTTATGGGAGTATCTGTATCAACAACTACTATATCCTCTCTCTCACTCTCAAGTTCACTCTCTCACTCTAACTTTGACTTTCACACTTTCATTCTCTCACACACCCACTCACTCTCACACTGACAGTCATCCACCCATTCATTCTCACACCTACACACTCATAATCGTTCTTACACTCTAACTTTAACTCTCACACATTTACTCATTCTCCCACACACTCTCTCTCACACCGTCTCACCCTCACCCCCCAGGGATCTCATACTAGCGGGGACACAACAGTCGGTGGAGCTGAACCTGGCGCTGGAGCAGGAGCAGCAGAAGAGTAAGAAGCTGGAGGAGTCGATGAAGAAATTAGATGACGAGATGAGACGGACGGACGAACTCCTGTACCAGATGATCCCCAGACAGGTGGCCCAGAGGCTGAGGAAGGGCGAGAACCCCGTCGACACCTGTGAGGTTAGTGACGCGCACACACACACACACACCTGTTGACACCTGTGGGGTTAATGGCACACACACACACATACCTGTTGACACCTGTGGGGTTAGTGACACAAACACACACACACACACACACACACACCTGTTGGCACCTGTGGGGTAGTGACACAAACACACACACACACACACCTGTTGGCACCTGTGGGGTTAATGACACAAACAGACACACACACACACCTGTTGGCACCTGTGTGGGGTTAATGGCACACACACACACACACCTGTTGGCACCTGTGGGGTTAGTGACACAAACACACACACACACACAGACCTGTTGGCACCTGTGGGGTTAGTGAGCACAAACACACACACACACACACACACCTGTTGGCACCTGTGGGTTAATGACACAAACAGACACACACACACCTGTTGGCACCTGTGGGGTTAGTGACACAAACACACACACACCTGTTGGCACCTGTGGGGTTAGTGACACACAAACACACACACACACACACACCTGTTGGCACCTGTGGGGTTAGTGGCACAAACACACACACACACCTGTTGGCACCTGTGGGGGTTAGTGACACAAACACACACACACACATACCTGTTGACACCTGTGGGGTTAGTGGCACACACACACACACCTGTTGGCACCTGTGGGGTTAGTGACACAAACACACCTATTAACACCAAGAAAAAGAACCACAACAAAACAAAAACAACAACAAACACCACAACAGTATCAATCACAACTCCAAAAACAACTACAACAACAATGTGACCAAATACATAAAAAAAAACACCCTAACCTAACCTAACCTAACCTAACCTAACCTAACCTAACCTAACCTAACCTAACCTAACCTAACCTAACCTAACCTAACCTAACCTAACCAAACCCGTCACCTACATAAGTCACATCTATCAGGTGAGTTCAGAACAAGTTTACCTGTACATATAGTAGGTGAGGGAGCGGTCACCTGTGAACACCTGAGTAATTAGGAAAGTTTTAATGTTTAAGTGAGTTAGAGAAATAAATGAATGTTATCTTGAAGTTGATTATATTTACACCAACATATGATATTTGTCTGTCTGTCTGTCTGTCTGTCTGTGTCTGTCTGTCTGTCTGTCTGTGTCTGTCTGTCTGTCTGTCTGTCTGTCTGTCTATATATGTTTATCTATCTATCTTTGACTCTCCTTTTATCTATCAATCAATCTATCTATCAATCTATCCATCTATCTATCTATCTATCTATCTATCTATCTATGGTCTTCCCTTCTGTCTGTCTGTCTCTCTGTCTCTCTCCTATCTCCTACAAATCACCACCAATACCCTACCCACCCCCCCTCCTTGACGCGTGTGATCTCCTACCCTGGGTCTCCTATGTCTCCTCCTAACAGACCTTCGAGAGTGTGACCATACTGTTCTCCGATGTGGTGACCTTCACGCAGATCTGTAGTCGCATCACGCCCATGGAAGTGGTCTCCATGCTCAACGCTATGTACTCCATCTTCGATAAATTGACGGAGAAGCACAATGTGTATAAGGTGGGTGGTCTCCTAGGTTGAGTTAAGTGTTGTGGTCTCCTAGTTAGGTTTGATGGGTGGTCTCCTAGTTAGGTTAGGGGGGGTGGTCTCCTAGATTAAGTTAGGTGGGTGGTTTCCTAGGTTAAGTTAAGTGGATAGTTTCCTAGGTTTTTAAGTGAAAGGTCTCCAAGGTTAAGTTAGGTGAAGGGTCTCCTAGGTTATGTTATATAAGAGAAATGATCTCCTAGGGTCATTAACTCAATACATTTATTAACGAGGGAACAATTATTATTTCTCCACCCCAAACATCTCCTCTCTCCCTCCTCCTTCCCCCCTGGCAGGTTGAGACGATAGGCGACGCGTACATGGTGGTAGCCGGTGCCCCAGAGAGACAGGCTAACCACGGGGAAATGGTCTGTGACATGTCAATGGATATGGTTGAGGCCATTACTGAACTCACCGATCCCTCTACTGGTAAGGTGGACACGTGTTGTATGGTTAATTGGGGTGATGGGGTGATGGGTGATGGGTAGGTGTCTGTGGGGGTGTGTGTGGGGTTGTGTGTGGGTGGGTGTGTGGGTGTGTGTGTGTGGGGTTGTGTGTGTGTTTGTGTGTGTGTGTGTGTGTGTGTGTGTGTGTGTGTGTGTGTGTGCATCCCTTGTGAAGAGATGAAAGAGTTGTATGCATAAGTTTGTATATATCTCTGTATACTTGCATGTCCTTAGGTATTCAATTACAACTGTATTGTCTATGCGTAACCATGTCAGTCATGTGTGTATGTCCCTGTGTAGCCATACAAGACACACACACACACACACACACCTCAAATAGTTATCATCAATACACAATAACTTTCAATACACTCGCTCTAACTCTCAACCCCCGTTCTCTCCCTCCCCCCACCCCTCATCTTACCCCTGGACGTGGGCATGGGCATACAGGTAACCACTTAAGGATACGTGTAGGGGTGCATACAGGCATGGTGGTGGCAGGAGTGGTCGGCCTCAAGATGCCTCGCTACTGCCTCTTTGGTGATGCCGTCAACACAGGTAAGAACTCTCACCTGTACGATCTTTCTCTGTTATCCTAACGTTTGATTATCCGGAGTGACAAATATCCATACTTTCGCATATCCAGAGTGCTAAATATCCGAACTTTTCGCATATCCATTGTCAAATATCCATAATCACTTATCCAGGCTCATCCACCCTGCTTATCCACCGCTCATCCACTCATCTACCTTATTTATCCAAACTCATCCACCTAACTTATCCAGGCTCATCCATCTCACTTATCCAACCTCATCCACCTTACTTATCCAACCTCACCCACCTCACTTATCCACTCTCAGCCACCCTACTTATCCAGGCTCATCCACCTCACTTATCCACGGTCATCCACCTCACTTATCCACTCATCTACCTTATTTATCCAAACTCATCCACCTAACTTATCCAGGCTCATCCATCTCACTTATCCAACCTCATCCACCTTACTTATCCAACCTCATCCACCTCACCTATCCACTCTCAGCCACCCTACTTATCCAGGCTCATCCACCTCACTTATCCACGCTCATCCACCCACTTATCCAGCCTCATCCACCCCAATTATCCATGCTCATCCACCTCACTTTGAGTGTTTTATAATGTGATTCTCTCGGAGGCTGAGCATAGACCTCGTTAACTCAGTTTCCTCCCTCCTTTAGTGATTACTGCCTCCCATGATGACGTTACTGCCTCTCATGATGACGTTACTGCCTTTCATGACACTTAGAGGTCAACAGGGGTCATCAGAAGTAGTTATAGGTCATCAGAATTATTTACAGGTCATCGGAAGTACTTAAAGATCAACAGAGGTCATCACGAGATAATAGAGGCACTTAAAGGTCAACAGAGGTCATCACAGGAGAACAGACACACTTAGAGGTCATCAAATAATATCAAGAGACACCTAAAGGTCAACAGGGGTCAAGAGAGGTAACCACAGGAGAACAAACACACTTAGAGGTCTTTACATATCAAGAGGCACCTAAGGGTCAACAGGGGTCAAGAGAGGTCATTTACCTATACCCACACTCTTAAGGGGTCACAAAACTCAACGAAGTTCAGTA